AGACCACACTGTTCTCACATGGGCTCCACCCTGGCTTAGCCTCTGGAGCGTTGTCCCTTAGTGGAGCAGACTTTTTTTTTTAAATTTCTTTATTTTTTAATAAACATATAATGTATTATTAGCCCCAGAGGTACAGGTCTGTGAATCGCCAGTTTACACTCTTCACAGCACTCACCACAGCACACACCCCCACAACATCCATAACCCCACCACCCCTCCCGACCCCCCTCCCTCCAGCAACCCTCAGTTTGTTCTGCGAGATTAAGAGTCTCTTATGGTTTGTCTCCCTCCCGATCCCATATTGTTTCATTTATTCTTTTCCTACACGCCCCCAAGCCCTCCACATTGCAATTTCCACTTCCTCATATCAGGGAGATCATATTATAGTTGTCTTTCTAGTGGAGCAGACTTTTAAAAGTTCTGATTTTGTGCTCCGTTGCTCTGCCACTTGCTGGGAGCCGGCCCCTCCCCCTGCAGTCAATCTTCCCGTCGCTTTGGATTCACTTCTCTGCAGGTCCTGCCTTTCAGAAAGTGGTCAATTTTCTGTTTCTAGAATTGCTGCTTTTCTTTTCTTCCATCTCCTGTTGGATTTTTAGGTGTTCGGAATCTAGTCTTTGTTTTAAAGTCTGTTTTTTCCCATATAAGTTATTGCTACTCTGGCTTTCTTTTCCATTTGCGTAAAAGATGCTTCTCCATCCCCTCACTTTCAATCTGTGTCTAGGTCTAAAATGAGTCTCTTGTAAGCAGCCGATAGATTGGTCTTTTTTTTTTAAATTTATTCTAATAACCTATGTCTTTTTATTAGAATGTTTAGTCCACTTACATTCAAAGTAATTTGGTAGAAATGTATTTATGCCACTTTATTACTTGTTTTGAGGTTGTTTCTCAAGATTTTCTCTGATCCTTTCTTGTCTTTTTTCATAGTTTGCTGGGTGTCTTTAGTGATATACTTGGAGTCCTCTATTTTTTTTACATATCTATAATTGGTTTTGATTTGTGGTCATCATTATGTTTGTATAGAACATCTTATACCTATTGCAGTCTTTATGAAGTTGATAGTCATTTGAGTTTGGAACCACTCTCCCTGCCCCTCCCACCTTGTTTTAGGTATATGGGATCATATTTTTCATCCTTTCAATTTGTGAGTTCCTTGACTGATTTTTTTTTTTTACAGATATATTCATTTTTACTGCTTTTGTGTTTTTAAACTTTATACTGTCATTTTTAGTCTTTCCTTTTGCACTCAGAGATTCCCTTTTAATATTTTTTACAGGGCTGGTTTAGTTGTCATGAACTCCTTTAGTTTTTGTTTCTCTGGGAAACTCTTGCTCTCCTATTCTGAATGATAGCATTTCTGGATAAAGTATTTTTGGCTTCAGGTTTTCCCATCTAGAACTTTGAATATATCATGCCACCCCTTTGTCTTGGAAAGTTTCTGCTGAAAAATCTGATAACTTTATGGGGTTTCCTTTGTGTGTTACCATCATCTTTGTCTTGCTGCTTTTTATATTTTTTTCTTTACCACTATATTTTGCCATTTTAATTACAGTATGTCTTAGTGTGGTTGTGCCTTTGTTGATTTTGTTGGGAGTTCTCTGTATCCTGAATCTGGGTATCTGTTTTGTTCCAATTAGGAAAGTTTTCAGCTATTACTTTGGCAAGTAAATTCTCTACTCTCTTTTCTCTGTCTTCTGGGACTCCTACAAGGTGAATGTTACTACATTTGATAGTCACTGAGTTCCATGAGTGTTCTTCTGTTGCATAATTCTTTTTCCTCTTTTTTGTTCAGCTTGATTACATTACTCTGTTTTCTAGGTCATTAACTCATTCCTCTGCTTCTTCCAGCCTTCTCTTGATTCCATCAAGCAAAATGTTTCTCATTTCATTTATTGGTCCCTTTATCTCTTTATTATTCTTCATCTCATTAAGGATCTCATTGATATTCTCCACTCTTTTCTCAAGTTCATTGAGTATCCTTATGATCATCATTTTAAATTTACATCAGGCATATTACTTCTATCTGTTTTGCTTAGATCTCTGGCTGTGGCATTGTCCTGTTCTTCCATTTGGGATAAATTCTTCTGACTTCTCATTTTGTCTAAGTCTGTGTGCCTATCTCTGCGTGTTAGCAAAGTCATTTATGTCTTCTGCTCTTAAAGATAATGGCCTTATGAAAAAGAGGTCCTATAGTGCCCTGAAATATAGTGTCCCCTGTTTCCCAGAGCATGGCACTTCTGCATGTATCTCCAGTGTGTGCTGGCAGAGCTCTGCTGTTGTGTCCTGGCCACTTTATCCTTCAGGCCAGTCATCTGGAGAGGCTTTCTTTGCCTGTTGTGGACAGTGTTTAGTCTCTGGCCTGAATGTGGCACTTTTTAACTAGGTATGCTCTGGTCTGCTTGTGAAGTGAGAGCTCTTGCCACTGCCATGGAAACCAGGGCCTTGTAAAACTCCTGGGTCAGGAAATGCGGGATGATCAGGGGTTTGGGTTGGTCTTCTGAGGTAGGGAGCCTGCTGTGCTGGGAGTGAGAAAGGCAGGACTGAGATGATCGTTCCTCCAGCATGTGGGGTGGTGAGACTTGGTGTAAGCAGTTAGGTAATGAGGGTTGCTGCTAGGCTGGTTTCTGCAGGCAGCTCTGTGCTGATGCTGAGGGGCAGGGGAGAGAAATGGTGTCTGTCTGTTCCTTTGGCCCTTGAGTGGTCTCTCCATGAATGCTACCTCTCGGGGGCACTTTCCAAGATGAACAGCTAACATTTCCCCATTGTGTGCCCCAGGTGCTCTTCAGATTGCTGTTTGCCCTGCCTTTTCTCCAGGAGCTGCCCTAGTGTCCTCTATGCTCCAAGCATGCTGACCTTTAAAAAGCCCCAGGCTTTAACTCACAAAATTCAGGCTTTCCTGCTTTTCAAACCAATTGCTGTGGGGATTTGTTTTCCCCATGCGCTCTCGTGCTAGTTTGCCTCTTGTCCTTCCCCGCAACCACGGCTCACTCCCCACCACAGCGGACACAAAGTGCATCTCCATACCTCCTGTCTTCCTTTTTGGGTCTCGCCTCTACCTTTAGTTGTGGAGTTTGATCTGCCGGTCATTAGATTAATTTCTGGGGTATTTAGGATGGTCTCATAGTTACCTAAGTTGTATTGGTGGGAGGAGGCAAGCCTAGTGTCCTATTCCACCACCATCTTTTCCTCCCACCAACAGCATTTTTCACAAAACTAGAACAATATCCTAAAAGTTGTATGGAACCACAAAAGACCCCAAATAGCCAAAGCAGTCTTAGAAAAGAACAAAGCTGGTGGCATCACAATCCCAGATTTCAAGATCTATCGCAAAGCTGTAGTAGTCAAAACAGTCTGGTAATTGTACAAAAATAGACATATAGATCAGGAATAGACTAGAAAACCCAGAAACAAACCCATGTTTATATGGTCAGTTAATCTTTGACAACAGGCAAGAATATGCAACGGGGAAAAAGGCAGTCTCTTCAATAAATGGTGCTGGGAAAACTGGACAGCCTCATCCCAAAGAATGAAACTGGGCCACTTTTTTATACCATACACAAAAATAAACTTAAAATGGATTAAGACCTAAATGTGAGACCTGAAACCATAAAAATCCTAGACGAGAGCACAGGGAGAAACAAACTCTTCATTCTAGAGAACAGACAGATGATTACCAGAGAAGAGGTGGGTGCAGGTCAGGGGAAACAGGCGATGGGGATGAAGGAGGGCACTTGTGATGAGCACCGAGTGATGTATGAAGTGTTGAATCACTGTATTGTACCCCTGAAACTAACACAACGCTCTGTTAAGTATATTGGAATTAAAATATTTTTTTTATTTCCCCTCATCATTTTTTTAAAAATTATCTCTTTGATGAAGGGAGAAGTGTGTGATAAAGCAAATTTAGAGGAATGTTATTTGTACAGTCTTAATGATATGTTTATAGGTGTTCACTGGGTAATTTTTCAACTTTTATGTTTTTTAATTTTCATAATATGTTGTGGAAAAATGTGAAAAATCTCTAATTTTATATTACTAATACAGTGGCCACAGGCTGCTCTTCTAACTTAAATGATGCCACTGTTTAGTATAAATTTCTAATTTCTTGCTCCCTAAATTAGAGTACTAAGGCTATGTTTTGTCTTTATAATTTCAGATTAGCTTAATATGTTTTGGTGACAGTTTAAAAAGGCCACTTTTACATTTCAGCCAAAGTAGTCATGATTAAACTAAATCTTTTCTAAAAGTCTACCAAATATATGGCTTAAGAATACCTTATCTTGGGGCTCCTGGGTGGCTCAGTCAGTTAAGCAGCTGCCTTCAGCTCAGATCATGAGCCCAGGGTCCTGGGATTGAGCCCCGCATTGGGCTGCCCAATCAGCGAAGAGCCTGCTTCTCCCTCTCTCTCTGCCTGCTGCTCTGCCTACTTGTGCTCTCTAATAAATAAATAAATAAATAAAATCTTAAAAAAAAAAAAAAGAATAACTTGTCTAATTTTCTTTGTTCCCTGTTGTTCTCCTGATTATCCTGGATATCTCTTGATATCCTGGAAGTCTTGATATGTAGCTTAATTTCAGTTGTGTTGAGAGTGAGGTAGACGTATATATATTTTAGGCTTCCTTTCTTTAAAAAATATCTTTTTTTCTTTTTCTTTCTTTTTTTTTAAAGATTTTATTTATTTCACAGACAGAGATCACAAGTAGGCAGAGAGAGAGAGAGGAGGAAGCAGGCTCCCCACTGAGCAGAGAGCCTGATGCAGAGCTCTATCCCAGGACCCTGGGATAATGACCCGAGCGGAAGACAGAGGCTTTAACCTACTGAGCCACCCAGGTGCCCCTCTTTTTTCTTTTAATAGTGATTTGGTTTAGGGTTAATCCAGAATTAAAGCAGTATTAAACCCTATTTTATGAATGTTATTCTTTTCCCATAGCTATACAGCTTGCTTATATGCATGTATGTGTGCATGTATATACCTATGTATAATTTTTTTTTTTTTTTTACAGTACTTGAAAGCTGTGATAACTCCAGAGTGTCTTCTGATACTAGATTATCGTAATTTAAATTTAGAGCAATGGCTCTTCCGGGAACTCCCTTCTCAGTTGGCTGGAGAAGGACAACTTGTCACATACCCTTTACCTTTTGAGTTTAGGGCTATAGAAGCACTCCTACAATATTGGGTAAGCCTATTTTTAGTTTGCTTCTTGAATTTTTTCTTGTTTTAAAATGCTATTGAGTAGGAAGACAAGTTGGTATTGTTTCAGTGACACCATCCCTAACCATACCCTACCTCCGAACAGAAGTATCTCTGAGGGTCCTGTGTGAAGAACGTACTTAATTCTTAAGCTATACGATCCAGTCAAATAGATCTGAGGTCTCTAGGGACAGTTTATAGAGTCTCTTTGAGCGTCATATTATGACATTCAGTTAAGCACATTTTAAGTTGGCTGTCCTTTGTATAATTTTGATAATTGTATTTGAGGGGTGATAATTCAAATACTTAACATCATATCAAAAAAGTTTTAAATATTCTCTATTATTCTGTAACTAAAGTGAATATTATAAAACTGCATACATGCGGTGAACATAGCTCAGATCATTCTCATACTTTCCCCGTCACTCTGATTTGTGGGTACAATCCTTGGAGGCAGCTACATGATGCCACTGTTTGAGACCTACTTTGACATAGGAACCAGGGATAATTCTTCCAATGATTCCCCTATTATGTAGATCATTCCTGGGTGTCTAGGTCCTGAACAACAATGGTCACTGCCCTCCTGGCCCCACAAATGGTTCATTATCTTTTCTTACCCCCCAGTGGTCAGTGCAGTGCTGTTCAGGAGCTGGCTGCCTGCAGTGGTCGGTTTAGAGCGTGCCAAGTGGAGGGAGGGAGGGAAGCAGGCGAAGAGGACGTGCAGTGGGTGAGGACTGGATGGACCCGGACCCTTCTCTTTTGTCTCCCCTGCTGTACCGAGGGAGTAGGAAATGGCTACATCCCCCACTCGCTCGGGTTCGTGAGGCAGAAGCACTGGCTAGTACCAGCCGAGGAGATGGTGACCAGTTGGAGCCCAGTTACTAAACAGGGAAAATGCAGGGGAGGGAAAGGAGGGAAGGTGCAGCCAGTGGTGAGTGGCAGGCTGCGTGGGCTAAGCTCTCAGGAGCTCAGCTGAGATGAATAGTGCGTGCTGGCTTTTATGCCATTCCCTTATTTTTACTAATTAACTGCTTAATTCTGTTATGCTGTTTGCCAGCTGGTACGGGAATATTTCAATATTTTAACAACGGGTATAGCCTGTATCAGTGCTTTCCTGCTGAATGCCTGAACAATAAGTAGTATAGTTTTGACTTGACACTGGTTTATTTTTCAAGTCCCAAGTTATGTTTTGGGTTTTGGAAGAATATTTTTCATAGGAATTTTGAACTGTGTTCTGTTTACGAAGAACGTGGGTATTGTTTACCAAATGTAAAGTATGTGTTTTAACCATGAAATGGGAGGTTTTAATCAGCCTTGCATTCCTTTCATAATAAATGTTTGTGGGGGAAGACTCTTAGGAGAGTTAATTCCCTGTCAACCAAATGCAAGCCTGGTAACATGCATGGTTATCTTTTAACCTGGTGGATCTAGTTTATGAATCACCTGAAATAGGCATTCCAGCAGTGACCATGTTCTGAAACCTTACCAGCCGGCCTAGCTATTACAGATTTCTGTGTCTAATCAGAGGATTCACTGATCCTGAGTATTCTAAAAAGACTGTTTTGATTCTTATGAAAGGTCATGTTGTTATCTAGATCAGCACTCTTCAGGGGAAACTTAGCATTTTGCAGCCACTGATCCTTGAGACATTGGAAGCTTTAGTGGATCCCAAACATTCTTCTGTAGACAGAAGCAAATTGCACATCTTACTACAAAATGGCAAAAGGTAAATATGGGTGATCTACCAATTTGGGAGATAGACAAAAATATCTTAAGCTTTTCTTTTAGTAGTCCTAATAGAAAATGTATAGCATTAATTCAGATACAAAATCAGTGTGATTATTCCCTGTTTTAAAAATACCAACTAGTTTTGCTAATGGTAATGGTTTTCTCTCTGTGCCTTGAAGTCGGAAGGTAGCCTAGGTGAGAAGTTGAGCTAACAAGGGCACGTAGACTAATGATTATGGAAAAGCTGTTTTTGCATGAAATGTTATATCAGGGTCTTTATTTCTGGATGGAAATTGATTCTTGAAGTGCATGGTGAATATCAAAAATTTCTTTTACAAGTCGGTGTTTACCATTAATGTATAAGTGGGTCTACTTGATAAGCTACTTTAAAAAGTTACGTTTTTTAATAGGAAAATTGTTTATAAGTTAATGTTATTGATCATTTCTATACAATTACTCTTATAGTTTGTCGGAGTTAGAAACAGATATTAAAATTTTCAAAGAATCCATGTTGGAGATCTTGGATGAAGAGGAGTTGTTGGAGGAGCTCTGTCTCACGAAGTGGAGTGACCCACAAGTCTTGTAAGTCTGGAGTCCTGCTTTGTCACTGGTCTTGTTAGGATCAGTCTTCTGTCTTCTTCAGGATGGTTCTTCTTAGAGAACGTAACGTTTTCTCCAGAGTAGAGAATACAGGCACTTTTTATCCTCAGTTGTTTCACTATTTCCCCATATGCATGTTTAGTGTAATGAGGATATACTGAATGTCTGCTGTGTACATAGCACTGCGCTGGGCTGTGATGAATACAAACAACACCATTACCTTTATCTTCAAGGGCCTGACCCCCAAAGTGGCTGACACATCTACCCGAATAACTTAGCCTGGGGAGTGCAGTGGGAGAGTGGGAAAGACACTCACATGGGGGCAGGGAAAGAGGGGTGGAGGAAGATAGGACACTGGCATATATTCTGTAACTTTGATCTGATATAGAAAAGGCTTATCTTAGGGGCGCCTGGGTGGCTAAGTGGGTTAAAGCCTCTGCCTTCGGCTCAGGTCATGATCTCAGGGTCCTGGGATCGAACCCCCCATCGGGCTCTCTGCTCAGCAGGGAGCCTGCTTCCCCGCCCCCCACCCCGCTCTGCCTGCCTCTCTGCCTACTTGTGATCTCTCTCTCTCTCTCTCTGTCAAATAAATAAATAAATAATCTTTTTTTAAAAAAGGCCTATCTTGGGGCGCCTGGGTGGCTCAGTTGGTTAAAGCCTTTGCCTTCAGCTCAGGTCATGATCCCAGGGCCCTGGGATCGAGCCCTGCATCGGGCTCTCTGCTCAACAGGGAGCCTGCTTCCTCCTCTCTCTGACTGCCTCTCTGCCTACTTGTGATCTCTGTCTGTCAAATAAATAAATAAAATCTTAAAAAAAAAAGGCCTATCTTAGAAAACTTTTATCTCTTACAGAATTAGAAATTATTTATTTTTCTTATGCACATCAAGTAAAATGTTTATTTTTTAAGTACTCAGAATATTTCATTTTTGTTCTTTGTAGACAAATATTAGAAATTAATGGAGACACCTCTGTAATATATACAGTTTCCACAACCTGTACAGATTTTTTTTAAGCATTTTGGGAAATTAGTTATCTGTATTCTAATAAGGAAAAATTAAGACTATAAGGGCTATTATATAGCAGATAATAGTAGCAGAAACTTGAACACATTTGTAACTCTTGTTTGCTTTATTAGGCCAATCCGTGTCTAATGTACTCTATGATATAACTCTTTCACAGAGCACTTCAGTCCCACTAACTCTCCTTGGTAGGGTGTGGGGGTATGAGTAAAGGGGTACAAAGTGACTATTAACATCACTCAAAGACATATTTCTTCCTATATGAAAATAACATTATGTATCTGCCTTGGAAAGGCTTTTTATTTTGTTTTTAGTTTGTTTTGCCTTATTTTCACTAATTTGCACTCATTCATCAGCATTTACACATTCAGAATTTTCCTTTGTCTGGTAGTGCGTATGTGCATGAGAATCCCTTGACCTGGGGCCAGGTGCAGTGAGCCCAGGCCTGCGGGCTGGAACCCGCACCCCTGCTTACTCTTCATAGTGTTCAGGATCACTTGGTAAAGCCACTCGCTGATGGAGCTCAGTCACAGTAAGAAAAAACCAAGGCCACTTTTTCATTCATAGTTGAGTATTATATACGGATTTAGACAGTTTTGGGTACCAAATGGGTGATGCCTGTGTTGGGGGTGTGCTAATTATGTTAACTCTTCATTGAAGTGAAAAGAGCAGTGCTGGAATCGACCATGCAGAAGAGATGGAGTTGCTTTTGGAAAACTACTACCGGTTAGCCGAGGATCTCTCCAATGCAACACGGGAACTCAGGGTACTGATCGATGATTCTCAAAGTATCATATTCATCAATCTGGACAGGTGAGAAAGCATCCTGTAGAACAACCAAAGGAATTCTAAAGTGATGAATGTTTTAAGAAAACTGTCATTTTGGGAGGAGTTATACCATCATTATCACGTATAAATGCTACATAGAAAGATGTCCTTTTCTAAAGGTGTAGATTTAATTTATGTGGTTTTAATAAATGATTTCATGAATTTACTATGTGTAGTTAGTGGGCCCTTCTGATGTAAGCTGTTCTCTCCAGCCACCGTAATGTGATGATGAGGTTGAACCTACAGTTGACCATGGGAACCTTCTCTCTTTCTCTCTTTGGACTAATGGGAGTTGCTTTTGGAATGAATTTGGAATCTTCCCTTGAAGAGGTGAGACTATTATTTCAGTGATCTAGGGATTATTTTTTGTTTTGAAGGTCATTTTTTAAAATGGGTTTTAAGGGGCACCTGGCTAGCTCAGTCAACTCTCGATCTTGGGGCTGTGGGTTCGAGCCTCACATTGGGAGTAGAGATTGCTTCAAAATAAAATCTTTAAAAAAAAAAAAAAGGATTTTAAAAAAGAGTCTTAACATATATATATATATCCCTAGTGAATTAAAATGTTTACTCTAATTCATTCAAAATTCAGGCAGTATTTTTAGACCCTGTTGTAACACAAATATAACTATAGCCATGGTTACCTCATGTTTCTCAAAAAATGGAACCACACATAGAAAAGGTTTGACAAAACAGTATTACACTGTGAAGGAATGCTCTTTGGAGGATCACACCATCAAAGAGACTGCTCTTCCGGGACCGCGCCGTGAGGCTCTGGTGATGCGGGATCATAGGATGAAGTGATGCTCCTGCAAGATTGCGCCATGAGGCTCTGGTGATGCGGGATCACAGTAAGAGGTTGTGCTCCCCCAGAATCGTGCTGTGAGGCTGTGGTGATGTGGGATCACAGGATGAGGTGGTGCTCCCGCAGGATCGTGCTGTGAGGCTCTGGTGATGCGGGATCACAGGACAAGGTAGTGCTCCCGCAGGATCACACCATGAGGCTGTGATGATGCAGGATCACAGGGTGAGGCGGTGCTCCCTCAGGATCGCACCATGCTGTGGCGGTAAGCAGGATCACAGTGAGGCCATGCTAACGGAAGACTACCTTTCTAGTTTTCATGTTTCCGGCATTGGTAAGTTCGCTTGCTTTATTTGGTGAGGTTGCAACTATGAAGATGGACGTGTTATCCCTACTTTGTAGATGAGAAGACAGGCTCAGGAAATTGAAGTGATTTGCTCAGGGGCACAGTGCTAGAAAATCACGGTTGTGATTTGAGCCCAAGACTTGCACTCTCCACTTTGCTGCCTTTTCATATTAATAGAACACCAAGGTGCCAAAGCTCTTCCTATCATTGCAGTGTGGCCTTTCAGAAAGTATCTTGCTGTAGGATTTCTAGAAAATAATCTGCACACTACACTGCATTCAGCACACTTGGACTCTATGTCCTCATTAATCTTTTTTTTTTAAATTTTATTTTACTTAAATTCAATTAATATATAGCATATTAGTTTGAGGTAGAGGTCAGTGATTCCTCAGTCTTATATAACACCCAGTGCTCATTACCTCAGGTGCCCTCCCCTCACGTCCCCTCCAGCAGCCCTCAGTTTGTTTCCTATGATTAAGAATCTCTTATGGTTTGCCTCCCTCTCTGATTCTTATTTTGTCTTTCCTTCCCCTCCCCTTGATCCTCTGTTTTGTTTGTTAAATCCCACATATGAGTGAAATCATAGGTTATTTGTCTTCCTCTGACTGACTGATTTCTCTTAGCATAATGCCCTTTAGCTCCATCCATGGCATTGAATGTGGCAAGATTTCATTTTTGATAACTGAATAGTATTCCATTGTGTCCTCATTCATTTCAAAGATCTGTTCTCTGTCTCTTTGGCTGCCATGGTTGAACCCATGTCATCTCTGATCAGGACCACTCTTTGCTTCTGGAAAATGGTCTGTAAAAGCAGCAAACCATGCTGAAGCCAGCCACCTCGCCCTCGCCACGGGTGTCGTATCAGTATTTCCTCCCCCTCGGGCTTCCTCCAGGCCACAGCTGTCCTTGGCTCCCAGCTCTCCTGCCCAGCCGACTTCTGCTTACCTCTACATCTTGGCTTATGCACCGCTTCCAAGGACGCTCTCCAAGGCCCAGTCGGTGTTAGTCATTTTCACGTTCTTTATAAGATGTGAAAGGAAAAATCATCTTATAAACGTGGGTTTTGGTGCCTCCTCTGTAGTGCGCGCTGCTTTCGGCCCCAGGGAAACGGCAGGGAGTGTCTGCCCTCAGGAAGGAGAGGGGCAGACAGACACAGAGCACGTTTGGTGGTAAGTGCCATCAAGAGGAAGCCGGGTGGAAGGACGCAGGATGTTGCCAGGAGGTGCGCTAAGGAGCATTTTAAAGCTGGGTGCTCAAGAATGTCCCGAGGAGGTGATGCTAGAAAGCAGGACGGTCGGAGGGAAAGTGTTTTCAGCAGAGGGGCGCACACAAGGAATTACCGGAGCGGGAACAGGCTGCGCTTGTTCAAGGAATAGCAAGGGCAGTGGGGGCAGGAGAGGGTGAGCCCGGCGGAGACAGGTGGGGAAGGTCAGAGCAAACGAATGGGAGATGGTGTTGAATTTGTAGAGCCTCTGAGGGTTTGCATTTAAGTGTGTTAGGCATCCTTTGGGAGGCTTTTAAGCCCACACGTAGTTACTAGAAAGTTCAGAAGCAACCAAAACATCTTGTGCAACATGAATCAACCCTTGAAATTCTCCAGAGGTAACTTCTAAAGACCTCTGCAGATTCCCCAGTGTGTGGCTACAGAACTCTTTATACAAGATCAGGTCATTTTTGTTAAGAATCGTGTTTCTATACATACAGTCTACAAACTCACTTATATACTTTTTTTTCATTTTATACTTATTTTCTCATTTAATGTCCATTTTTAGAAGGGATTTTTGAAAATTCCTCTCATAGTTCCACGCAGTCCCAGAGGAACAGATATAATTTAAGAATCGTGTTTCTATACATACAGTCTACAAACTCACTTATATACTTTTTTTCATTTTATACTTATTTTCTCATTTAATGTCCATTTTTAAAAGGGATTTTTGAAAATTCCTCTCATAGTTCCACGCAACCCAGTTATGACGGGAGGTGAGTGGTTCGTGGCCAGTTACTTGCTCAGTACAGGGTGATTAGCTCCGGCTGAACAAGATTCGGATCAGTCCCTCATCAGTTACAAATTACGTGTCTAGATAACCTGAAGAACAGCTCAGACATGTTTACTAAATCCCCAGATGTCAAGGTCTCTGCCCCTGTGTAGACGGGGTTAGTATTGACAATGATCAACCTAGGATAGGAAAAACTTTTTTTACTTCTTGTTTTAAGATAATTTTAGACCCTTCTAAGAGTAGTCAAAGAATTGCCATAGAGCCTTCCCCCATTCTTTTATCACCAACTTGTATCACCTTCCCTGTCTCATTCTCTCTCTTTTTTTAAGATTTTATTTATTAATTTGACAGATCACAAGTAGGCAGAGAGGCAGGCAGAGAGAGAGGAGGAAGCAGGCTCCCTGCTGAGCAGAGAGCCCGATGTGGGGCTCGATCCCAGGACCCTGAGATCATGACCTGAGCTGAAGGCAGAGGCTTAACCCACTGAGCCACTCAGGCACCCTCATTCTATCTTTATATACAGCCTCTTTTTCCTAAAACCACTTGAGAGTAAGCAACAGAGGTGATACCCCTTTACCTCTGGCAACCCAGAAATAAATCCCATTTGACAGTAATGAATGATTGCTTAATGTATTATTGGATTTGATTTGCTAGTATTTTGTTGAGTTTTTTTTGCATCCGTGCTCATCAGAGATATTGGCCTGTAGTTCTCTTTTTCGTAGTGTCTTTGGTTTTGGTATTTGGGCAATGCTGGCCTCATAGAATGAATTTAAAAGTTTTCCTTTTTCCTTTTTTTTTTTTAATAGTTTGAGAGGAACAGATATAATTTTTCTTTAAAGTTTGGTAGAATTAACCAAAGCAATCTGGTCCTGACTTTTATTTGTTGAGAGTTTTTTTGTTTTTGTTTTTGTTTTTAACTGATATAATACCATTGCTGGTAATTGGTCTGTTCAAATTTCCTTATTTCTTCCTGATTCAGTTTTGGGGAGGTTGTATGTTTCTAGGAATTCCACTTCTAGGTTATCCAATTTTTTGGCATATAATTTTCTATAGTATTCTCTTACAGTCCTTTGTATTTCTGTGATGGTTATTTCCTGTTTCATTTCTGATTTTGTTTGAGTTTTCTCATTTTCTTTTTGATGAGTCTGGCTAAAGGTTTCTCAGTTGTGTTGATTTTTTTTTTTCCCCCAAACAACCAGCTTGTTCTATCTTGTTGGATTATCTTCTTTATGATTATGATGTCCTTCTCTGTCTCTTGTTACAGTCTTTGTATTAAAGTGTTTTTTCCAATGTAAGTATGCTACCCTGGCTCTCTTCTAATGTCCATGTGCATGATAAATGCTTCTCCGTCCCTTCGCCTTCCATCTGCAGGTGTTCTTAGATCTGAGACGAGTCTCTTGTAGGCACCATGAGATGGGTCTCGAGTTGTTATCCACTCAGTCACCCTGTGTCTTTTGATTGGAGCATTTGATCCATTCATGACGTTCATAGTAATTGTTGAAAAGTGTGTGCTTTTTGCCATTTTGTTACTTCTTTAATGGTTGTTTTATAGTTCTTCTGTGTTCCTTTCTTCCTTTGCTCTCTTCTCATGATTAGTTGGCTTTCTGTGGTGTTATACTTGGAGTCTTTTTTTTTTTTTTTTTTTTTTTAATTTTTTGCATATCACTGGTTTTCAGTTTGTGGTTGTTGCTGGTTTGTATATAACACCTTCTGGGCATAGCAGTCTGTATTAAGCTGATGGTTGCCTAAGTTTGAGCCCATTCTTTATTCTTCTCCCCACCCCCACCTTTTAGGTGTCATACTTTGCATCCCTTTACTTTGAGTCCTTTGACTGACTTTTACAGGTGTACTTATTTCTACTGCTTTTATGTTTCCTACTTTTCATACTGTCTCTTACGGTCTCTCCTTTCCGCTCAGAGTCCTCTTTAACATTTCTTAAAAGGCTGGTTTAGTGGTGATGAATTCCTTTAATTTGTTTCTCTGAGAAACTCTTCTCTCTCCTACTCTGAAGGACAACCCTGTGAGGTAGAGTGTTCTTGGCTGCAGATTTTTCCCTTTCAGCCCTTTGAATTTGCCATGCTGCTCCCTTCTTGTTGCATTTTCTGCAGAGAAATTGGCTGGTAGCCATGTGGGGTTTCCTTTGTATTTAACTGCTTTCTTTTGCTACTTTTAAAATCCTGTCTTTATCGACACTTTTTGCCTTTTTAATTACTAGGTGTCTTTTTTAAGATTTTATTTATTCATTTGAGAGAGAGAGTGAGCATGGGGCGGTGGGATGGGGAGGGAGGGGCAAAGGGAGAGGGAGAAGCAGACTCCGTGCTGAGCAGGAGTCAAACCCAGGACCCTGACATCACGACCTGAGCTGAAGGCAGACGCTTAACTTACTGAGCCACCCGGCACCCCAATTACTATGTCTCGGCGTGGACCTCCTGGGTTGATTTTGTTGGGCTATCTCTGTGCCTCCTGGATCTGGATTTGTTTCCTTTCCCAGATTCTAGATGTTTTCAGCTATTATTTCTTCACATAAATTTGCTGCCCCCTTTTCTCTTTCTGGGATCCCTGTAATGCCGGTGTTATTACACTTGATGGAGCCACTGAGTTCCCTAAATCTGTTCTTGTTTTGGATCATTTATTTTCCTCTCACTTGCTCAACTTTACTTTCTGTGACTCTGTCCTCCAGGTCATTGATCTGTTCTTCTGCTTCCTCTAGCTACTAGTTATTCCAGCTGATATATTTTTAATTTCGTTTATTGTGTTCTTCATCTCTGAGTGGTTCTTTCTTACCTCCTTGTTAGGACCTTACTGATATCCTCCACTTTTAAGTCCAGTGAGTATATTATCATTTTTTTTTAAGATTTTATTTATTTATTTGACAGAGACACAGTGAGAGAGGGAACACAAGCAGGGGGAGAGGGAGAAGGAGACTCCCCACTGAGCAGGGACTCCGATATGGGGCTCGATCCCAGGACCCTAAGAGATCATGACCTGAGCCGAAGGCAGACACTTAATGGCTGAGCCGCCTAGGCGCCCCTGATGATTACTTTAAATTCTCCATCAGGCATATTGCTTATCTCCATTTCACTTAGGTCTCTTGTTGTGAACTTCTCCTGTTCTTTCATTTGGGACATAGTCATTTGTCTCATTTTGTCTGCCTCTCGGTGTTTGTGTGTGTGCGCTAGGAAAGTCAGCTGTGTCTCCTGCCCTCGAAGGTGGTGGACGCATGGGGAGGAGGTCCTGTCTGCCTGCAGGGCGAGGTCCCTGCTCACCAGAACCTGGTGCTTCCGAGCTCTTCTCTCAGTGTGCTGCGTCCCCGCCCCCCCGCCGTGTGGCTGGGCCGTGTTTGCCTGCGGTCCGGGTGTCCACATGGCTGTTTTTGCCTGCTGTGGGCCGTGTTCGCTCCCTGTGACACTGTGGGTCAGTCTGGGGCCACCCTGGGCTTGAGCCGGGTCAGACCGGGTGTTTGGCAGAGCTGCAGACCGCTTCTCTGCACTGTCCCCCGAGACACTTCCACGGGTGGGCAGGGCCCGCAGTCCGACCAGCCGTCTGCCGCCAGCCCGCTGTTGGGGCCACATTCAGTGTGTGCGGTTAGTTCCCCTCTCCCCGGGCAGGGGATACTTTGGAGTGGTGCCGGCCCCTATGGGGGCAGCTTGCACAGGGCCAGGAGTGGGGTGCTTCTTTTGATGGGCTCCTGCTTTGGAGAGGGTGTATGCAACCCCCCTTCTGGGTACAGGAGCCTCAGTGTTAGCAAGGTTTGTTGGGTCTTCTGGGGGCACAGACCCCATGCTGGGACTGAGGCCAGCCTGGCTGGAGCGTGCGGATGGGAAGCTCCGGTGAGCGGGTGGGCGCAGTGTAAGCAAATCAGTGGGTGTCGTGCTAGTTCCCCCAGGCACTGTGTGTTTGGGGGTGGGGGTGCAGTAGAGACAGCACCTGCAGGTCCTTTGTTCCTGGAGGAGTCTCTCACGATCTCTGTTTCTCCAGAGCGCTCTCTGAGGTTAGCGAGCCGCTCTCCCACTGTATGCCCCAGGTCTTTCCAGATGCTCCTTCTGTCCTGTATCTTCCCAGGCTGTTGTGTTGTCTCTTTAATGGTGGGGACTCTGTTTCCTCTCACCCTCTCTGCTCTCCTAAAGTTGAGCCTGCTGATTTTCTACAATTCCAGGTTTTAAGTCCTACTGATTGTAAAAACTCACAAAACTCAGCCACTCTGGTTTTCAAAGCCAAATGTTATGGGGACTCAGCTTTCCACACAGCCTCCCCCGTGCGATAGTGTGGTTCTCTCCCTTCTCTGTGCTGGCAGCTTCCTTCCTTTCCTGGACAGCCCCACAGTTTCACTGAGCTCCCCGCCAGGTCTCTGCCCTGCCCGCCCTCTTTGATGTGGCCCCTTCTTCGTTGTGGAGTCCGTTCTGTCAGCCTCCAGGTCATTGTCTGCGTTACTTACACTGATGTGTTGTCTAGTTGTGCCTGCGTACGAGGTGAGCTTCCGGTCCTCCTGCTGTGCTGTCTTCCCACAGTTTGTGTGTGTGTTTGGAATTTCAGGCTAGGTTGGAACTTCTCTCTAGTTTATCACATTTTGGCATTCTCAGATTTTTCTTCATAGGTGGGTTGTAGAACCAGTCCACAGCAAAGATAATAGTAATCTATTGTTCTAAATCTCATTTAAATGTAATTTTTAATAAACTACACCCTCTTTTTGGGTAACTGGAAATGTGTTCACCAAAAATATTTAACTTGTGTTAGCACTTGTCTTCCTGATATAGGTCTAAGTTCCTGTTCCGAAGAGATGGGTTTCTCCTTCATATGGTGTGCATTGCCCCCAGTGAGAGCTAACCGTTTGTGCAACACACCAGCCTGGGCCGGGGAGCTCCCGTCCCTGGAGCCACCCGGGCTGCTGTTGGTAGCCAGTGGTGGCATAGCTAGTGATGGGATCCCTTTCGTGGGGGCCTGTGGTTCCGTCTACGGATGTGTGCACATTACACTGCCAGATAGTACAAGCTTGAAAATGACGGGAAGATGTTTAAGTCACAGGTTCCCAAACTTTCTTGGTTCATGATATGTTTAGTGTCTAGTGTCTCGGGAATTTTTGCATAGGATTACTAGACCCAGAGTTTCTTTTAGGACATCGTTTCTGTGATATTACCTAACAGGTTGTTTATGAAGTAGCTAGGTCTGTTTTGCAGATGTGTTTTCCTTGAAAAGTTAAAATACTCTCGGGTGCTGTGGTGCCCAGGACACCTCAGCTCACAGATCGGGAACTGTGGCTCTAAAAGCAAAAAATTCAAATTTGGTTGTATGTCCTCTTTGATTACAACTATTAAAATTTGTATACATGCAAACGAAGACTGGGAGGAAACACAAAAGTGGTTATGTTTGGCTTATAGATGATTTTTAAATATCAAAGCCCTTTTATGTCTTGTTTTCTTCTGATCTATTCTCTGATTCTCTGGATGCTATCAAGTTCTGTTCTTAGGTCCTTTCTATAGGAAAGAGCTGTATGAACAACACAAGGCTTCTTTAAGCTCTGGGGCAATCATAGTTGGGGAATTTTACAGCTGAGGAGCCTGACCTTTTGTGATTGAAAGTAACTCTGTGTTCTCTTTTAGGACCACAGAGTGTTTTGGCTGATTACAGGAATTATGTTTATGGGAAGCGGCCTCATCTGGAGGCGTTTGCTGTCATTCCTGGGACGACAACTAGAAGCTCCTCTACCTCCCGTGGTATGAAGGGTCTGGGTTGGCACAGTGTAGTCAAGGGGCTGATGTCCGGTTCTGCAGGCACACCGAGTGCCTGGGCTGCTGGTGTCCCCGGCTTTGTGACCCCGAGCAAGTTCTTTCATTCCCACATCCGTCAGTGACGTCAGTAGCAGCGGTTGGAAAGCACTTATTCCAGTACCACACCTGGCACGGTGCCAGCTCAGTCCCCGGTGCTCAGTGCATCGCTCTGTGATGAGCTTTCTGCCTTTAGATGTTGGCAGTTCTGCTGCAGGCTCTGTCATAACCCAGATTGAAACATAGAAAACATGGTGTCGTCATTAAGAAAAAAGGTTGAGCCTTTCTTTTTCCCCAGTTTACACCGGGAATGAATACTTAGGGTACTGACAGGGGCTTCTAGTCTCCCGTCTGCTAGTTACCTCTGCTTTTACTTGTGGCATTTCTTGTAACACAGACACAGACTAAATGAGTCATTGTTCTGCTTTATTTAGATGGTCTCTTTACCCAAGAAGTCCCTTCAGGCGGACAGAAGGATGGAAATGAAGCACAGCTTCCGGCCAGACGGGCTCGGCTCAGGCAAGAGTGTCCTGACAAACCGTTAGAGACATCAGCCCAGGAGAGACTGGGTTTCTTTTCGTGGTAGTCACGGGAAGCTTCTGGTACTCTTTCATTATTTTCTTTTATAGAGTCAGAGACTTGGAAAAATCACTAAAATTCACAATGTCTGATGATAAAGATACCATGGCACTCCGTAATGCTAGAACTTCTGCATTTTCAAAATTGAGGAAAGAAGCAAAGGATATGCTTTGTAAAAGGCCAAAATTCTATTTCCCACAACCTTAAAATGCTGTTTTTATAGATGTGATGTGAGAATAGACTGTTGTGTAGATTTTCTGATTTATACGTGTCTCAGGCCAAGCAAAGCCTGAAAACTTGACAAGCCCACAGTGACGAGCTCGGGTAGCAGTAGTTCTTACTAAGGGGATCATGTTCTTGGGAGCTTCCTGACTCACAGGTGACTGGAAAGGCAGGAAAAAATACATACTAACCTTAGAACAAACTCTGAAAGTTTGTGCTTTAAACCAATCTTTAACATACTCTATTTTCTTGTCTTTTTTATATAAGGCAAATAAAAAGGAAATGATTAGCATCCATTTAAGCTGATATTAAATCAATATTTTATTCTCTTGACTCCTGAAACACTTTTTCTCTGCTTGGCTACGGTGGAAACCTTTGGAAGTAATGTTGAAACTGTTTCCATTTTGTTACTGTTTTTTAGGTCTTGAGTGGAGGGAGTAGAGTAGATGACTGAAGTAGATGGAGGTGTCCCCTGAGCCACTCCCATCCCCAAAAAAGAAAGTGTATGGAGCCCAGTTAATCTGTATGCCTACGCCTCAGAGCTTGACAGGGGGCTTCCTAAAACCAGAAGAGTGGCCAGAGCTGCTCTGCTACTACAAACGTAATAGTAGTAAAGCCCGAGCGTTGACAGTGTTGGGGTTACCTGATGCCGTAATAGGATGGCAAAGGAGGAAGTTTGGGAGTCCATTCACCAAGTGGTTTGGTGAAGAGAATAAAAATGCTGGTCCAGTAGCTGATTTGAGAGAAAGCAGAGTTGTTAAGTAGTTTCCTGCTCCCCTGTGTGGTTAGAAGAAGCCACTAGAAGCTGGCACATACGATGACCCAGGCTGGGTTGGTCTCAGCATGGAGTGGCCCACTTGGCACCTCCCCGTGGGTCAGGGACTCGCTTTGAGGTATGGGTGTCGGAGTGAGGCTCGTTCTCTCTCTAGCATCATAGATGTGTGTGATGACTTTCAAAACAAAGTATCTTTGATAGTCTTCCGATTTCATGGGACTCTGTCATACCTCAGAGCACTGCTGCTGTTCTTGGTCTCAGGGAATCACTGGACATAGGTTAGAAATAGGACTTCACTGTAACGGGAAAAACTGAAAGCCCAAGGGGCTGGACTCCAGTCAGGCACAGAAATAGAATTTTGGCCTTTTTCCTTCTGGTGTGACTTACTTAGTTTGTGGAGGTAAAAATTTTTTTTTTTCCAGGAGTCCTGTTTCCTCAATCAAAGGGAAACGTAACTACCTCTTAAGTCTGATGCAGAGAAATGACGGGTGGTTTATAAAGTTCTTGAAGGTGGTTAGATCAAGGAGGATTTCAAAATGTCAACTCGCTCTGCTTTGTGGATAGGATGCTTCTTACCTAAGAAGTTAGGCGATTTTAAACTTTGACTTAAAAATGAGCACAAGTGTTTCGTTATGTGAGTGAGCAAGCAGTCTCATCCCCCGTTTAACAAGGTCAAGGCATGTTTTTGGAAGGCCTCTAAGGAAAGGTGGCAGAAGATAGCACAGACTGTAAGAAATAACCACTAAATAAAAAGCTGTTGGTCTCGTTATTCCAGGAGTTGTACATAGCTTTATTTTTGGAGCTACAATATTTAATACACTTTAATCTCAGGATTTACTTTCCCTACTTTAGTAATACCTATGGAGGTGGTCTGAGGGATGGTACGTGGACAGGGCATTCGGAGATCTGAGCTCATTGCTGGACTTACTCCAAATCCCTTTAGGTCTCTGTTTCAAAGGCATGAAACCATTTTGATCTTAAAGCAAGTTTTGTAATAGAAAAATTGCAAATACATACATGTGTTTTGATATCTTTGAAATAAAGGTCATGGAATTAAGTGCAGAGTTGTGTTAATGAGAATAAAACCCTACAAGGTATTTGTTGTTAACCATTTCAGAACCTGTGTTTAGAACTGTAGCTAATACTTAGTGTGAAAACAGCCCACCTCCGGGGATAACGCACAGACTGCGCAGGCCGGCGTGTGCGGCTCTGCCATCCAGGGTGACCTTCGGGAGTAGGAATACCACTTCGCACTTTTGAGTACGGGATTACGCAGGTTAAGGATCCTGGATAAGATCCTATGTGAGAACCTGGTTCGGTCTGGTGTGTTTAGACACTGAGAGAAATGTCCGTCCTTGGGTAGAAGATGGTTGTGCGTCAGCACAGGCCCTCTGTCTCCGCTGAGGCAGCAGCCCCTTGCTCCAGCCATGGCGGTGGGAGAGAACCAGACTTCTGAGGAAGAGGGCCAGCGCTCACCGACCTCTCAACGCGTAAGTGAAGCTAGTTAAGGAATTCTGGCCCCTAAAAGTAAACTTCAACTAAACATGGTTATTTCACACGAGCTGAGCTACCACTCATTGTTACCCAAATGAAACCAAATGTGCTGTTCTCTAGAGATGCAGCGGCTAGCACCGGTCCGGAGGAAGGACGACAGTCCCCACAGTCATCGCGAGGTGCTCTCTGGTATACGCGCGTTGGTCCCCCTCTTCCCTGCCCTTATGCTCAGTGTTAACTCACAAAGCGTTGCCGTGATTTCTACTTTGACTCCTCAGCTGGATTCCTATCTTTGAACCAGTCTCAAAGCTGCCTCTAGGGAAGTTAAAAAGGATCTTGTCATCGGTTACTTTTCTCTACTCTTAGTGCCAGGAGGAAGAATGGTTCCTCCCTGATGGCTGCAGGAGCCCTAGGAACGCCTTCACATGTTTAGTGAAGCCAGAGCCCGTGGCAGATGCCTTCCCCCAGTGTCCCCACCTGCAGGCCTGGCCGAGGTACGCTCCGCCAGTCACCAGTCAGCCCCAGAACCGAGGAAGCCAAGACACGCTTCTCTGCTCGCTCTCGCGCGGTGGCCTCCGCCCGGAGCTCTACGGGGCGAGTTTTGTGGGCGCGGCTTGTGCCAGCCCAGTGCGACGTAGGGCTTCTCTTGGGAGGACACAGAACCAGTGGAGTCACTGGGTTCAGCTGTTAGAACAGCCGCTTCTACCAAAGCAGGTGAGGGCACCAACGCGAGGTTTTAGTTTTGTATTAGTCGTTCACCCTGTGAAACCCTGGAAATGCCGCAGTTCTCATAAGGACCCACTCGCTTGCAGCAGGTGACTGGAGTGGCAAGGCTCTCCCGCAGCCCCTGCTGCTCACCGGACTGTTGCTCTGCCCACTCTGTCCCGTACGCTGTGCTTTCTGTTCCACTTTGATGGGAATGAGTCACCAACTTTAAAGGACATTTTTAGGAGAAACTGTGACAGATTTTCCTAAGAGCTAAGTACAGAGAAGCCTTTCTAGGCATCAGAAGGACGTAGCTCTGGTGTGGAAAGGGCAGCGGTCATACAGCAGGGCTGAGGCCAGGCCGGAAGCTGGGAGTAAGTTCCAGTACAGGGGAAGCAAGGGAGGAAGCCTGGGAAGGGACACGAGGCAGCAGAGTATCTGTCGTCGTCCACTGGGTCGTAGTCCCCCCTAGGCCTGTCCACTCCAGGAGCCCCACTTCTAGCAGGATCCGCCCGGCTCCCCTGGAGGTGCCCCTTTGTCCACCAGAACGCTCACCCTGGCGAGGACTCGGCCCAGAGAGGGGACGCAGAGGAGGAAGAGGTGGCGAGGTCTTTACTCGAGGCCGAGGCTGTAGACGTGCAGGGCCCCAGAGAGTCGGGCTCCCAAAGAGCTCCTCCCAGCAGCGACGACCACTTGGTTCTGTAGGACACGAGACAGTACTGTTCGTCACGCCCGTGAAGTCCCTGCCCGAGTCCAGGCACCCTGCTGTGCTCCGGTGGCACGGAGATGGGGACATGGGGTAAGTGCCACGGGGGTTCAGAAGTGTGGACGGAGGCGGCTCAGGTGCAGGCTGAGTCCTGACTCCGGCCCGGCGCTAACCGGCTCGCTGCGGGAAGTCTGAGCGGCCGCGCTCCTCCTCCTCAGGCTGTCCGTGTCCGCTCCGCAGCGGACCTGGACTCGGGGCTTCACGCCACAGTCCCAGGGAGCGGGGCGACCTAACTGGAGTGTCCACCTCGGTGAACTATTCTGACAAAGGCGGACTGGCACGGTTAAACAGCAAAGAATCAACTGCCAGTGTCTTACGACCTACAGCACCTCGCAGCTTGTGTAAGTCATGGCGGATGTATAGTTCACGGGTTCTTGATAATATCTTTTTGGAAAATGAATTTTAAGTGTAAGCCAAGCTTACGATGTAATCTGTCACCAGACCTTTTGAGAATCCTCCCATAAATTCAGTAATCATCTTTTTCGTTCTAGGTAACCCTACATTTTGCTCATCAGTCTTGCCTAGAAATGGAGTCAGGCAAGGGCCACTGGAACTGTGGGCCACCAGAGGGCAGTGTCCCCCTGCGCCAGAACGCCGGGGCCAGGTGTGCCGCAGCTGGTCCTGTCCCTGTCCTCTTTAGCCCTTGGGCATTTCCCTCTCCTGCCCGTGCATGTAGACCGTGTGCTTCTCAAAGGTATGGCTTTGTCTCAGAGCCTGCACGGTTCTGTGCGATCCTATCCCAAAGTAACCGAATGGCTGGGTTCAGTTGGTCTAGCTGCAGGGTGGAAGATAAAACCCTTTCACTGCTGTGTCCGTTACAGTCAAAGTGTGCAGACCCTCTGCTTAGCGATCTTCCAAAGACAGCAGCAGGGATATCTGCACGGTTATATAAAGATACAGCTGTGCAAGAATGCTCGCGATAGTAAATAGATTGGAAATAATGGAGAAATAACAGTAAATATCTGGGAAAAGTGAGTGGAACAAGACAGTGCGTCGGGACAGTCCCCTGCGGCCGGCAAGCAGCTGGCCCCGCCTGTGTCTCCGGAGAGGGAGCGCGATAGACGGGAGCCCGCGAGCGTGACCAGTGGGAGAGTGCGTGTGCGCACGGTGTGCCCCGAGAGGCCTGCAGGGACTCCGCGGTCTGGAAGGAAACACTAACAGTGCTCGGCTGCTCCCCGGAAGGCCCAAGTCCGTATTCGAACGCGAGGCTTCGCGGGGCAGCAGCCGCCACAGACGTGCGGGGCCGCGGCCCAAGGAGACTACGGACGCTGAAGTTTAAACTTATATAAATTTCACGTGTCATGAAATATCCTTTCTTTTTCCAACCATCTAAACGAATCCTTTTTAGTTCACGAGCTATACAGAACTCGAGGCGGCCCACAGGCTGGAATTCGCTAGGTCCTGCCCTCGGGGATGAGACCGGGAAAGCGATGGGTCGGTGTGTGGAGGTTCCTTTTGTGTGTGTCTGTTTCAGGCAAAAGCTGAACGACGAAATGAGATCATCCCACCCCAGCCTTAGCACGGGAACTTCAGGAGCGCCGTCTTC